TATGGGATATTTTCATATTAAAAATAATAAAGTTTAAATCTTAAAAATAACTGAGATTATTTCAGCCTCTCTGTTAAAAGTTAAAATTTGCGAATATTTTGCAGACTCCTGTAATTCAATGTGATATATAATAACACTAGCTATACCCAGTGTGCTTTGCTACCCTAATAGCAATATAAATAAAAATCTCTTTACCTTTCATATTTACATTTCATGGGAGAAAACACTATCATTATACACATTTTTCACTTTGTATGAAAGGTATCATGTAGGGATGCCAATCCTAATCCCGATTTTCGGGATTAGGATATCCCGAAACCCGGGATTTTTCAAAATAAATCCCGGGATTTGCTTCAAAAAAAGTTTTTATTTTCTGTTTTGAGATATAATTTTCATAAATTGCAAATTACGATTTAATTTTATTTCTGATTTGTGCAAAACACATACATATTTTAACGTTTTATTTTTTAAAGTGGAATGATTCCATGCACATATAATTTGATTTATTCATTTCGTTGGTAATAGACTCAAAAAGTATACACATTCTGTGTCGGTAAGTTGGAAACACGAGTTAAAAGACAAGAAGACCTAATAGGAAATCCTCCGAAAAAATTAGTATCAATACATTACAATATTTTGATGGTGGGTAACTAATTTTGGCACAGTCGAATACAAACTTTATTTTTTAATACAAGAAGATTTTGCATTTCAAACTTTCTACAAATCTGAGTAATACCGGTAAAGGTAAATTAGCTTGTTCTGAATTTACATAAAATTTTCAATAAATACTAGTTATGTTCCATAACTATATATATGCCGCACCAATAACAATGTTTGTATTGTATCCAATATTTAGAGTCTTCGTTTTTTTCCATTATTTTATTTATTCTCCATTCTTTTTTAAAATAAATTATTACACCTCCAGTTCTTCTAGAGTTAGACAATGATATTAAATGTTCGTATTTGGGTAATATAATTTCACTACTTTCATGTTCGCTAGTAAAATGTATTTCAGATAAAATTATGAAGTCAAATTTCCACTTTCAGCCATTATTTCAATTAAATTAAAATTATTTATTAGTCCTTGCACATTTGTGTATGCACTACGAATATACTTTAATTGTTACTAATATAGGCCTAGGTTTTTTTCTTTATTTTCAATTTGTTTTGGTATACCGGACACTCTTTATTATTCGTTTGATGATTGTCATCTAATCCGATATTTAATCTGTTATTCATTCTAATACAATTAATACATTTATTTATTTGTTCTTTGTCACATTCTTTTGTTTTATGGCAACCATGGCATTTTAAGCAACATTCTTGATTTTTACATTCTCTGGCTTTATGATTATATCCTCTACATTTCATGCATTGTATTATATCTGTTCAATCGAATACTCTACATCTTTCCCAACCTATATTTATTTTCTGCTGCGATATTAGTTTATAATACGTATCATTGTCCACGATTACTTTTATCGTATAAATTTTTCTTTTATCATTAATTTTATATTCGTATTTCTTTATTAATTTTAATTCACTATTTATTATAGGATTTTGTTTCTTAATTTTTTCTATTATTTCATCATCCGTATAGTCAAAACTTATGTCCGTTATTTTAATTATTAAATTTCTTGGACTGGGCGCCTTAATGTCATAATTTTCATTTAGTTTAGTTTGAATTGCATTTTTATTTTTTCTCTTTCTTCATTACTTTCGCTTTGTATTATTACTGTCCCATTTTTTCTGTTTTCTATTTTTGTTATTTTTAAATTCATTGGAACAACATTTTTATTTAATTCTTCTTTTGTTTTTTCAACATCCTGTCTTTCTTTAGGTTTAACAATTAGAGGCACTTGTTTATTTTGATCTGGCATCACTGCTTTTTTTATTGTCTCTGCATATGACATTTTGCTTTGTTTTTCGTTTGCTTGTTTTATTACTTTTTTTATTTCATTGCACATCTTTGTATTTGTTTGTTCTATGCTATTACATATTTCTTTATTATTGTTTTCATTGTCTTTTATTGCTCCATAAAGTTTTTTAATTTCTTGTACATTTTTTTCACAAGCTTTTTGAGTGTTATCAATAATTTTAAGTCTTTCTTCATATCTTTTTTCAATTGCCAGTAATAATTGCTTTATTTTATTTTCGTTGCTCTTTAATGATGATTCAAATTCCCTTTTATATTCCTTTAGGTTTTGTTTATTCTTATATAATGCATACAATCCTCGCAAATAAATCTAACAAACTTACTTGATTCTAGAACTCCGATCGAATATTGGTCTACACCAGAGCATTTTTTTTTTTACAATGATATATTTTATCGCAAACACCATTGTATCTTATTCCCGTCTCTCCCCTAATTACTGACTTGCACGCACTGCAGTCAGTCATTTTGGGTTATTTTTAAGATTATTTCTCAATAAATTTGTATTTTAGAAAAACTTTATGTTCACTAATAGGATTAATGTTTTTAAGTGTTTTAATAGTCTTTTTTCTATTTTTTACACTGTTTATTATTATTTTTTAATTATGTATTTTATATAGAGCTGTTTATTTTTGCTTGTTATCGCTTTCTCTCATTCTCTATGTTTGTTATTTATTTTTATTTAGGAATTATGGAGTTAAAAAGTTTCAGAAATTAGGAAATTCTCAAAGTTTTTATTTAAAAAGTATAATTAATTAGATTTTGTTAATTTAAATACATCTTACAATTTCAATAAACTAAACACTTAAACACATGATGATTTGAAGATTTTCATATATAAAATAATTAAATTCATGTAATCCCGTAAAATCCCGAAAAATTCCGGGATCCCGAAATATCCGAAATATTTTAATTATAAGAGTACTTAAAATTAATGTAGACGGTAAGTAGTAGTCATTGAAAAGTAAGTGGTTATGTAAGTATAAGCCATTACACAGTTTATGCTGGGTATATAACAAAATATGAAACAATAAATCGATCCATTTTAAACCTTTTATAGGTTCTAACCTAATCCGGTCCCTACATGCCAAATTTCATGTTTCTAGGTTCAATATTATAGAAAATTCAAGAAATACCTTTTGTAGAACGAAAATGTACCAAAAAGTTAATTTTTATAGGTTCTCACATAATACTTAATTTTATGTTTCTAAGTTCAATACATACTATAGAAATTTCAAAAAGTACCTTTTGTAGAACGAAAAAGTACCAAACAGTCCCCTTTTATGTGTTGTCACTTAAACCTGGCCCTACATTATAAATTTCATGTTTCTAGGTTCAATATTATAGAAAATTCAAAACCCTTAATCCAGGGTCTACATACTTAATTTCATATTTCTAGCCAATAACAACACACTGCTTCATTCGTAATTAGGTTTGCCATCCTGGCTGGACTTTCTTTGATGCTTGTCCAGTTTCAAGCTAAAATTTAATTTGTCCAGATAAATAGATTTTTTTAGTACACTGCAATAGCTTGGGCATTAATTTTTATGTTATCATCATGATAGCAAACACTGTTTGTGCATTTGTTAACAACAAATTTATGATTTCCCTCTTCTGTATCAACACTTGAACAGCTGATGTCGTAATAAATATTTTTGAGAGCGGTAATCAATTTCTTTACGTGCAGCTTACGTACTTTTGATTTTTTAAATTTAAAACTTCAAAAAGGGTGCTTTTTCACATCTTTTGCTCTTAAAAACTAAGTTAACGAAGTGATCGGGGAAAACTAAAAATATATTCGTACTCTATGGACTACATATAACAAAACGGAATTGGTATATGAGAACCCCTGCATTTTTTTGGTGTATCACTGTGAAATTATTTACACAAAACCAAAATTAACATTTTCTCAGCATTTTTTATGTCCAGCTTTTTTGTTTTGTCCAGCTTTTTAAAACCCAATGTCCAGCTTTTTGCGAATCGGAATCTGGCAACCCTATTCGTAATTGTTGTTCTTGCTTTGCTAACGTATTATTATGTGTGTTGTTGTAGTTTGTTTATTATTCTGTCCGCATGCACGAATAATCTCAATTTTTTATAAAATTTTCAGAGATTGTCTCGGATTTTTTATCATATCTCCGTTATTTATGAACCGATTTTTCAGATTTTAAATATCGATCTTCCCGAAAGCATGTCTTACAGAATTGTTGAAGATTTGGATCCCGAAGATATGTGGGCTCTTCAGAAAATTGATTTCAACAAACATACAGACGGACATAGCTTAATCGACTCCGCTATCTATAAGAACTAGGAATATATATTACTTTATAGGGTCGGAAAATTATATTATAGAAATTACAAACGGAATGACAAACTTATGTATATTAAACAAATTTCTACCTTCTTATGGGGAAATTTGTTGTTGCTGCTGTTTCAACGATGTTGAAACAACAAAACCAAAGTTATTTATTGAACCAAATAAATAACGTTGGAGAACAAAATGCAGAATGCACTTAATTGATTTTCGAGGTAAGTAGAAAATAAAACACTTGAGTTTTCGGGAAACTTTATAAATATTTATTTTCACTATAGGATGGGATGTTGTGGCTGTCAGTGTCCGCTGCTTACGCTGCTGGTTATTCACAAACTTTAATGGCGCTTAGGTCGTTTGACAGGACGTCAGATTGACACATGTCAATCTTCTTAGGCGTCATTCACAGTGATGTGAATGACCACAGACGTAGCGAGCGAGAGGGGTCACATTTATAAGAGGGGCTCAATGTCCAAGTCGAGACAGTCGTCGTCCTCTTCTGTTCCAGAGGAATTGTTGCGAGCCTCAACATATATATACCCTTCTCACGAAGGTGAAGAGTATTAAAAGATACTTCTTGGATCAGAACCAGAGCTGTCAATCGCCATATATAAATAGAGAAAACTGACTTAACCTTGCACAAACTGCTTGGCTTCTTGGCTCTGGGCTGATATCGCTTATACCAAATGTCATACACTCATTTGATCATATTATACTTTTCTAAGGAAACTATTAATGCCTTTATTATCATCTTACCTTTCTGATTACCACCACTTGGTATTTGATTAGAATTAACTTGACGAATCTGTGCTTCATTAATGTGTTGCTGAAAGTTTCCTAAATGTGTACCCCATGCATTACTTGGAATTTGTAATTGTTGTTGGTGCTGAATATGTTGTCCAGTTGGAGCCGTATAGTTATTCGTTAAATTCATAAATGGCAAAACTTTACTATTTTGTATTCTTGGAGCGACCGCATATCCGTTAAAATTGTTGACATGGTTAAACCCAGGTGGAGGCATGCGTGCTCGTTGCATATACTCCATCATTTGTTGTTGATGTGGTTGATGTATATTATTTGTTTGTTTATGATTCATTAAATTCGATGAAGCTGTCCCAACATTTTGTTGTTCCTCTTCATTTTCAATTAATTCTGCTAATGCTTTCTGAGTTTCTATAAATGGATCAAAACCTAAAATAAAAATAAAGTGATTAATGAATTAACCGACTGTTGGGGAAATATGGCGAAATTATTTTTTAATTTATCTTAAAATACTACAGACTTTGAAACTATGAAGTGAATTAAATATAAAAGCTTATGAATTAACCCTTTTGTGGTCAACATAAAGTTTGTATTTTTAGACATATTAGATTGAAAATCGACCGTAAAAAAGGATTTAATAAATATGTATATCTTTCCGGAATGCTTATTCTGTGCACATTACGGTGCAAAATTTATTACTAAATGGCAAAATTTGAACAAAACAGAAAAAAATTTATATTTTCTCCTTATAAATGCATTTGGAAACTTCAGAGCCGTTGCGGCACCTGTTAACCTATCAGCCTAATTTTTTGCATGTTATGCATATTAGTGTGGCCCCATTTGTTTAGAGAAAAAATATGGTACTGATGTTCCCGCCGAGAATTAAAGCTTCGTTGATTCTAAGATACCATTTCTCAAAACTTTTGTCCTGGTTCAATATTTGGTGAGCTGGATCAAAGGATAAAAAGGTCCTTTTTACGGTTTTTCCTATTTTTTCATATTTTAATATTATGAAATATTAATATCATATGAAAGGTCTTTGAGAGGCGCTTTGAATAGCATAACTTATTGCGTTAGTTCAAAAAAATCTAAAAATTTAAAATTTTTTAAATTTGTAGATAGATTTATTTAATGTAATAAACTGAAATTAATATATCATAAACCTCATTAAATTTTACCAAAACGGTTTTTTTTCGTTTTCGTAATTTAATTTACATCACATTTTATTTGATTTTCTAGAAAGCAACGTTCATTGCAAATTATGGTTCAATAATGTTCAATAACATTCAAAATGTTATTTACATAGAAAACACGACAGCAAGTGCATTTTTTGGGTTAAACTGTATTTCAGTTAAACTGAAATATTTCTTTAAAATCATATGAAATTATAAATTATTATATGTATATGAAAAGCTTATAAAATTATGCGTATAAAGATATATCAGTATTGATTAAATAGCTAACACAAGATCACACGATGGGTTGAAATGGGTCAAAAGTGACGCTAAATTGAACTTTAGAATTAGGTTTTTATACTAGGTACCAAGTACCTAAAACTAGATAAAATTCTACATCAGTGTGTGAAATTTCAAATATTTAAGCTATAAACTGTCTCCGTAGTGAGCTGTCAAAGTCAGAAAAATATTTATATTTTTATATAAAGTAGTAAAAATTGACATTTAATATAAAACTAAACATTAATAAAGTCTTACTTTTAGGATGGAATCATTAAATTCAAGTATTTAAACGTATAAAATTTATTTAGTAATTTTAAAAATATGTGTAGAACTATTTTTAATTTTTTTTTTAAATAAGTCCAAAATAGACCTATAGACAAGTCAACTTTAGCTAAAAGTGTCCGATAGGCTAACGGGAAGATCACCTTACCTTTATCTTTTAACGTAAGCTTTAGGATTTTTTTTAAATATGACTGAAAAATAAATTCAATGTCATTTTTCATATGAAAAATATTATTAACGGCTAAAAGTATGCTACGGTTTTTGTATAATAACAAATTATGTTGTAATAATGAAAATATTTAAAGTTCGCTTTATTCCTCATTTTAATTAAAGTTACCTTTTATTATTACGAACATTAAAGGCAAGTTGTAATAATGGCCCTTAGAATATGGTCTTAAAAATATATTGTAGAAGAAAAAATTCAAAAATCTACACGAACTAGCTAAATAAACAGTTTTTTTGCTCTCCTGAAAACTTGTGTTATTTTAGATAGAGACTATTGAATATAGTCCTTCGATATACACTTATACTCGTTACCTATATATTAAAAGAGATGTAAATCAATAATTTATATAATTTAAAATTCTATTTATAAATGTTTGGCTTTTTTACTCAAAGTTGTATCAATTTGGTCAACCAAGCTCAAATTCAAGAAATTTAAAAAAAAAGTGGCAAAAAGATTTTTTTTTTTAATTTTTCAGTAAAATTGATTATTTTTAGTTTTAGTATGATTATCCATCAAAAACAATTGAAACATAAATTATTTCCTAATTTTTTTTTTAAATTAGGATTTTTGATTGATTTTTGTTCTTCATATATAAAATAGGAGGACTTTTTTTTAATTATTGTATAGTACATAATATATGCTCTCATTTGCATTTTATTTTAAGAAAATATCGCTATCCATTTTAAAGCTACAGCTAAAATTTGGAATAAAGTCACAATTTCCCGAAAAATAAAAAAAAATATAAAATCCAAAAAAATGTTTACTATAATTTTTTTTTGGAAAAGATGCCTTTAAATTTATTTTTAGTTATTTGTTAAAAAAATTTAAATATATTAAAGTTACGGCTCTCCAGAATTAATCGCCAATTTAGGTGCCATCGAACCCACTGTGGATCTGTTTTGGAAAATTTAAATAAAATATTAACTAGATGGAATTTCGAAAAACTAAAAAAAAGCATTTCGGTAAAATTGAACTAAACAAATTTTCATTTGGGGTGACCCCAACTGAATTCTACGAGCTTTATTTATAAGGGAATAGAATTAAAAAATTATAATTAAAATTAATTAAATTAATATTTATAGAATGATGCTTTTTGAAGGTAGACTTAAGTACCTTTTATTTAAACATACAAACAGACATTTATATATATATATATTAAAATATTAAAATTTCAACTCCTTCATCTGCATATCTGCGGCCAAAACACCGATTTTGGGCGACAATTTTTGATAGACCGAAAACTGCTGAACATATTTCAAAGCCGACTTTAGTATACTATTCTACAGGAAAATTTAAGATATATAAACTTAATTTGAATGCACTATAAATGCATAACAGCAAAAGAAAAAATGCAATTTAAAAAAAAAATTTCAAAACTTGATTTTATCATTCGAAAATATAATATTCAATGCCCTTAAAAAAATAGTTTTAAAATTTTTAATTTATTGTAATCCGTTTAGGAGTTCTGATGGTTATAATGTTAACTTGTGGGTTAAAAATTTCCCATCAAACAATGGTGTTTTTCATCATCACCTCCGAATTTAATAAAACTCCACCCAATTCATGTTCTATATATAACTGGTATAATGACATAATATACATATAAAAATGAATTTTCACAGTCTCTTCCTGTATGTCTCAAAGGAAATATAGGCTACTTTTTACTTCAATATATTTAATGGGCGAAGTGCCACGCCTACATACAAAATAAGTATTAAAAGTCGGATATCTCAGAAACTGCAAGAGCTACAGTCCTCAAATTTTGTATGCAAAACTTTGACGTCCATAAGAATATTTTTGGATAAAATGGGCGGAATGGCGATAGTGGGCGTGGCACCTTCCATATGAAGAAAATCTTAAATCAGTATATCTGAGAAAATATAACAGATAGAGTCCTCAAATTTACGGATCAATATGACTATTTAAGGAAAAAGGGGGCGTACTAGCAGTAAGGAGACGTGGCACCACCCATATGAATTAAATACAAAAATTCGCTTATATGGGAAACTATTAAAGTTAGAACCTTCAAATTTTGCACGAAGAACTGTACCATCCATGTAAACATTTTGTGTAATAAATTGGCGGACTACCAATGGCGTCCTCCTCCCATATGAATAAAATATACAAAAATTCGTTTATCTGGGATACTAATAGAGCTAGCTTCTTAAAATTTAGCAAGAACATCTTTAATATTCAACTGAACATTTTGGGGCAGACTTTTATCAGGGGGACTTGGAACCCTCCATATGAAGTAAATAGAAAAATTCGTATATTTGAAAAACTATTAGAGCTAAAATCCTCAAATTTTGCAAGAACAACTTTAACATCCATGTAAATAAATGGTCGTTGTCGTTTGTCTAATAGACCTAAAATCTTCAAATTTTGCACGATTTTTTTGAACATTTTGGGGAAAATGGGCGGACTATCATTAGGGGGGTTGGAACCTGCTATATGAAATAAGTAGAAAAAATCGTATGTCTGGGGAACTATTAGAGCAAAAATCCTTTGAAGTCAATGTGAACATCTGGGTAATATATTGGCGGACTTGCAAATTGGAACCTCCCATATGAATTAAATAAAAAATCACATATGTCTGAAAAAATATAAGAACTAGAAAATTTTACATGAAAAACTTCGACATTTATGTGAACATTTAGAGAAAAATGGGCGGATTATCAATGGGATCTTGGGATCTCCCATATGAATTAAATACAAAATTTCGTACATGTGGGAAACTATTATATTATTTATTTTTTCGTAGGTTACAATAAAATATAAATTAACGTTTGGAAAAATTGGCGAATTTGCAATAATTTGCGTGACATCCATATATGAGCTCAATTTCACACTTTTATAATGCTCCAAAAGTGCATTTAGAATTATCCAAAGATGCACTTTTTCAAAAAATATTTCAAAATTTTGCTGAAACAAATAGTGAAAAAACAAAAATGTGAAAAAACAAAAATTCTATCATTAACCCTTTAGATGTGATGAGACTTTAAATTTTCAGATTTTAAACTTTACAACGCTATATTTCGAAAACCACGATAGTTATAAGGGCCAAAATTTGTCATTATACCGAATTTTATTAAATTCGGAAGTGATGATGAAAAACACCATTGTTTGATGGGAAATTATTAACCCACAAGTTAACATTATAACCATCATAACTCCTAAACGGATTACAATAAATTAAAAATTTTAAAACTATTTTTTTAAGGGCATTGAATATTATATTTTCGAATGATAAAATCAAGTTTTGAAATTTTTTTTTTTTAATTGCATTTTTATACCCTTCACCTTCGTGAGAAAGGTATATATAAGTTTGTCATTCCGTTTGTAATTTCTATAATATAATTTTCCGACCCCATAAAGTATATATATTCTGGATCCTTATAGGTAGCGGAGTTGATTAAGCTATGTCCGTCTGTCTGTCTGTCCGTCTGTGTGTTTGTTGAAATCAG